CCAGATCATGGATAAAGATGTTAAACAGGACGGGAACCAGTACTGATCCATGGGGAACCAGTACTGATCCGTGGGGAAGTGTCATTGCCACAAGTATCATGGTCTCCAGTGTATGTTAATGGTTTGCACTTACAACTGTTCTCCCTCTTCACTCTCTAAATGCAAACATGATTAACCACCATCCTGCTCGTTCCCAAAGTGGGAGCTTAATGACTGACAGCTGGAAATGAGACAAAGCTCCTGGTTCCCTGCCCTTCTTCCTATTTATAGACTTACCCTGCTTCTCAACTCTAAAATGACTGAGTATGGCAAATATAACCTTAGATCAATCCTTGACGTACCTTAGATAAGCATTAAATGTTCTGCTCAGATGTAGCTTCGAGACCTTCACCTCAATGTTTCCAAGGGTTCAACACCCAAAAGGCTTTATACAGCATTTACCATGATGCTGCCCTTGAAGTCCGTTAGAAGACATCCCCAACCTCCATACCTTTCAAATCCCCTTTTACTGGCAGGAACTCCCACTTTCAACCACGTTTTATTTCACTTCCACATCTTTACCTGCCCCCTCTAGACCTCACCACATTCTCTCCTAATAAAACCAAAAGATCCTAAGCTATTTCACTCTGCTTTGAGCTTTAGAAGAATGAGAAAAAAGCAGTTCTTGGACAACTCCTGGGAGCAGCTGGAGAGATACAAGATGAGAGGCTTCATTCCTAATTCACAAGACTGATTGGAAGATGCTGAACTCCTCGTCCCCTGTTTCCTCTACTTCTCCAGTCACAGCCAACTGCTTTGATAATATCAAGCACCAGCAAAAGTTGGTGTTCAACTGTCAAGAGCTGTGTCTGGGGAAGTAATTCCACAGTAGTAGTAGCAAAATGTGTCTTCAATAGTAGTCCATGACCAACATATTCTTCATGTTTGTATTTAGCTTTTTTGGATCTGGCTACAAATCAGAATTCTAGTGCTGAAAAGCTGCTATTTAAGGAAGGAACAACCAGCCCTTCTGAATACACAACAGCTGTACGAAGTGTTTGCATGCACCAACAACAGATTGCTGCTATTTGTACAACTATGATTGAGAAATATTCTCCCTTAAAAATCTTCTGATAGATCATGGAGATAAGCTCTTTAAAAGATGACAAGAAGGGAGAGTGATTAAATGGTAAATAGTCCTTTTTTTTGTTGTTTAAAGCCCAAATAAGACATTTCACTCAGAAGATTTTGATTCTATTTTGGTTACAGAAGCAAGTTTTAGTCTAAAACAGTGTATTTATGCAGTAATTCCTAGTAAGGAAAAGGAACAAGAGTTTTATAGGAATTATAGCATGTACCTTAAAATTATTAATGACTAGAATGATGATTAAAGAGGCCTGGCTCTCAGGGAACAAGTACTCAGCAATTATTAGGAAAAAATCAGGCCAATTCATGGCCTGTCAGTTTGGTGTTCAGATCCTCTCCCCACTCACACCACCCCACAAACTCACCTCAAATCATTAAGTGGCTTAAAAATTTTTGGCTTGGTGTGGTATAAATAAATACCAGAATTGTCTTTTGAGCTTTAGTTAATCTTGAAAGTGTTTTTTTTAAAACAATAATGGTCATTTAACAGTTTTTCTAGTCCACCATCCAGCACAGAGAATTTTAGAAATTTCTGAAATTAAATTAATTCTGAAATTAAACTCTCACTCACCCAACTTTTTTGTTGTTGTTTAATATTAATAAATAGATTTTTCCTGCAAGACTTTTTCATTTTTAGCCACTTAAGTCACTACTAAGTGCTCGTGACTCTCAAATGCACTCAAGTTAACAGAAGTTGCCATATTTTAATTCTCAATTCTAAAAGAAAAGAAGGGGGCTGGAAAACTGCAGGCATGGCTAAGAGGCAATAAAATTAAATTAGCAAAGACTTCAGATGATGTTATCACCCAGCTACAGATGGAATATCAAAAAGAATAAGATGCTAGAGGGGAAAAAAAAAATATTAATCTTCAATCACATCTTCTGATGTGGCTGTGATCATCACCAGTAAACTGATTTTAATGGGGAAAACCACTAAAACCATACTTTTCCAGTTAGTTCACTGTTTCAGAGCAACCACATACTACAAATAAGGATTTTTCACTAACAATTTTGAATATAAGCTATGAGAGAAATTCCTTAAAGAGCCATTTAGACGAACAATATCAGATTGTTTAATTTTATTTTTTTAATAGTAAAATCTCTAACTTATTTCCCCTTTATTAATTTGCTGGATTGCATACTTATTTCCTAATTACAAGTTATCTCTGTGTGTTTATAAAACACTTTGTTCAGCTTTGTGGATGTTTCTGAAATAGAACTGCTACTTCTTACTAAAAAGAGTAAGAGGGAAAACACACACAAAAAAAGGTGAAAATTACTTAAGTGTTAAGTTTCTTAATGTTAGAAAAAACAAGTTAGGGTTCAGGATTTTCCTTCTGTTATGATCTTATTTAATGTATTTTCCTGATAATCCCTGATTTGTTCAAAACAGTTATAAAAATAATAAAATAAAATTCTCAATGTATTTTAATCACAGATTTGATTAACTGATTTTTAAAATAGACCCTTCTAAATTCAATGTTAAGGGCAATGACTATGTTTCTGGTGATGAAAATGAAGGTTATTAAGGAAGCAGAGGGAGTGAAATAACTCGTATCAAAGTTATGTCAACTTATACCTGTTTAAGTTCTTTTGCTTCTTCCTGGGAGACCTTCTCTTGCTCCTGCAGCTGAACCTGGTCTTTGTCCATCCCTTCTCTGCTTCCCACCGGAGAGCTGGGCTGTACCACTCCTCCCAAGAGTCCTGTGGCTGCAAAAGAAATTCCCATGGTCAGAAAGCCATCTCCTGTACCAATGGGGAGGATCAGTGCTGGTATCAAAGAATCATCAAATCACAGAATCGTGGTGGTTGGAAAAGACTTTTAAGATCACCAAGTCCAACCATAAACCCAACACTATCAATTCCACCTCTAAACCATGTCCCTCAGCATCTCATCTACCCGTCTTTTAAATACCACCAGGGAAGGTGACTCCACCACCTCCCTGGGCAGCCTGTTCCAATGTTTGACAACCCTTTTGGTGAAGAATTTTTTCCTCATATCCAATTTAAACCTCCTCTGGCACAACTTGAGGCCATTTCCTCTTGTTCTATCAAACTGGTTCACCTCTGCTTTCCTCCACAGCAGCTCACAATGGGACAAGCACACTCAGAGAAGCTAACCCAACCTTGCCTGTTAAGTTATGTTCTTCTAGAAAGGATTTGAGCTGTATTTCACACAACACCTAACCTGGAGGTGACCAGGCTGATGAGAGATGACTTACTTTTAAAGGTACTATTTGGAGAATCGGTTCATTATAAGCTGTGAGGATTCATTTAAACAGAGACTGAAGAAGTAACAACAAACTCCCAATCAGCTTAATGAGGATTCTTCACCTGCTGCTTCTTCTCTCCTTAATCATTTTAATTAATTTTAAAGTGATGGATCAGAGACAGAGCCCAAGAGTCATGTCAGCAAAGCCCTGAAACAGAAGAGCAACACTGACGCTAACAGCCACCCCCAGCTAAGCAGTGTGGACTCGATCCCTCATGTAACATGTCTCCTGTCCTTTATTTAAAGCACCAGCTCTTATTGCAGCATCTGATACTCCCCAGTAGAGTAGCAGGGACATGCTGCAAGGAAAGGTTGTTATTTCTGATGCAGATGGGTGCTAAACATCCGAGACACACATCTTGGCTCCTACAGGAACTTCAAATATCTCTGAAGCTTTCCCACTTAAAGAGGTAGAGAATCACAGAACAGTTTGGGTTGGAAGGGATTTTAAAGATCATCTAGTCCCACCCCCCCTGCCATCAGCAGGGACACCTTCCACTAGACCAGGTTGCTCAAAGCTTCATCCAACCTGCCCTTGAACACTTCCAGGGAGGAGCAGCCACAGCTTCTCTGGGCAACCTGGGACACTGTCTCACCACCCTCACACCAAAGAATTTCTTCCTCATATCTCATCTCAATCTCCCCTCTTTCAGTTTCAAGCCATCACCCCTTGTTCTGTCACTCCCTGCCCTTGGCTAAAGTCCCTCCCCACCCTTCCTGGAGGCCCTTCAGGTACTGGGAGGCCGCTATGAGATCTCCCTGGAGCCTTCTCTTCTCCAGGCTGAACAGCCCCAACTCTCTCAGCCTGTCCTCACAGCAGAGTTGCTGCAGCCCTCACATCATCCTCGTGGCCTCCTCTGGACTGGTTCTAACAGGTCCATGTCTTTCTTGTTTTGGGGGCTCCAGAACTGGACACAGTACTCCAGGTGGGCCTTTACAAGAGCAGAGTACAGGGGAAGAATCACCTTGACCTGCAGGCCACGATTCTCTTGATGCAGAAGCAAGAAGCTAACGCTACCGCTGTCACCTGGTAGCACGTGGCCTGACCTAGCACAAGACAATGACACCAGCTCTTATGTGGACGAGGACAGATGCATGTTGGAGGACAGAGCTCAACACCACATCAAAGAGCTGGTGCCCAGCTGGCTGGTCAACTGATGGTGTACACCCAACCGCTTTGGATAGCATGACTTCCCCGTGAAAAGGAAGACAAAAGCTAAACCAAAAGTACCAAACCTTAAATTCCTCTCAAGTAATTATTGCAAACTCATAATTCCTGGAATTATTTGGTTATCATCCTGAGAGGTACTGGACTCAGACACTGGCAAGATTTAAAGACAAGTAAGTTATTCACTGTACTAGTGTTACCTTGTGCAAACACTCCTCGTATTCGGAGAGGCTAAAAACCAGGTAAATTATTGTCATGATCTCCCTCAGATGACAAAGTGGGGAGGGAATGACAGACCTTCCTATGGCAGCAAATAGCCAGAGGAGATTCTTTGTGTATCTTATCAGCTGAGTGTCATCATATGCTAATTATTTCATTAAAATAAAGAAATCTATCCATTTCACTCCGTTAACCTCACTGAGGATTAAGCAGGAGGGGGATATGATTAATAGGAAGGGGATATGACAAAGCTGCACAAAAAGAATGGGATGAGAAAGGAGATTTGGCATTTCCAAGCCATTTTCTACTTAAAAAAAAAAAAAAAAGGGGGTGGGGAGAGAATTGAATAAAAAGGCAGAAACATTCAAAAAGCAATTTGGTTTCATTTGTGTTCCACCCAGTTGGATCATGAAACTCGCTGCCACCATGTGAGGACGAGAAGCTACCAAACCTTTGAACAAAGTGCTGGAAATTCATAATAACAAGAATATTTGATCACAGGGGTAAGCAGGAAAAATTCAGCAGCCTCAAAAGGGATTAAAAAAAAATGCCAGTCTTGAGCTATGCGATTCAGACAGCACTGCCCTAGACTGTTAGACTGCAGATGCACTGTAGGATTATCTTGTGCTCTTTAATCCTGCGTGGCTGTTATCAGCCGTTATTGAGGATGTTATTGGTGAGGAAATCATTGCCTTGATCCAGCACAGAAGAATCTCTGTTATGAAACAAACCTCACTGCTCTGCCCTGAGCATTTAAACACCCCATGTGGCTTAGTCCAAAAAAATACAGTCAGAAAAGACATGCAAAGCAGCTAAAAATACTTGCAGATAATCTAGTGTGTAGAAAACTCTCCACAAATTCCTCTTCCAGCTGGAATCAAGCCAAAACTCTTAGCAAAGACAAGGTTTTTTTGTATTTATTTATACAAATGTGCAATATGCACAACTTGAAGGCAGGATTAGTATAAACAGAGAGGATCAAGGTGAGACTATGAGTTGTAGAAATGTTCATGTCTCTTAGCTGCAGCACTGAAGGCAAAGAACACTACGAGCCAGTTCATCAAGACAACTTCTGCTGCAAAGATATTTCTCCTATAAATCTCAGCATCAACATTTGCTGTCTGAAAATAGACACATATATTTTCTGTGTACAAAGACGCAGGCGTGCATAACACAGACTTTTTTTTCCCCTGCTTTTAGGGGGCAGAGGGAAGGAAAAAAAAATGAAAAAAAAGGGAAAAAAAGAGAAAAAAAATCAGTATTTCCACCCTGCGAGCAGCCACAGAAAAAAACTCCGAGGTTCAAACGCAGTCCGTGAGTGCCATCTTGTGACAGAAGACAGATGGTGACAGAGTCCAGGGAAGGAACAAACAAGGGTTTTTAGTGGAGCTAGAGAAGTCAGGATTTCCATAACCTCTAGTTTTCTTTACTGCCGTTTCCAAATTAAACAGTCCCAATGCAGGTGGGGGTAGGAGAGCAATATCCTTGACTCACTGACTCAGATGCAAACAGAGCAAAGCAGTGGGAAATTAAGTACTGTAGGGCTGTAGAACCAATTATTTTATGTAACCAGCCTTAAGACCATCAGGAACTAAACACCAATTTGCTGGAATAACTCGGTGCTTAAGAAACCAGCAGGTTGTTTTTCCTCTATGTTGTTGTGCTGACATTTTAGTGCCAGATGCCCAAGACTTACTTCCTTAAAAATTAACAAGCTTTTCCAAGCTATGACCCTCGTCAACAAGAGGACGTTATCCTCCCTGCTGAAGTTCAGTTTTAGCTTGGTGCATTGAAATAGGTTCATCTATTGTTTTATTGTATCATTTTTTAACTTGTTTTTAATCTACTGGTAATAAATTTATCCACCTATTTGCTCTTTTGTCACTAACAATTAAGAAAAAAAAAAAGAGGATTCGGGCATGTTGATAGAAATAAATTCCTAACAGACAAAAATTCACCAGCTCTCCAAATGAATCCAGGGTTGGATTACAAAAACAAGAATAAAACCAGCCCTCCCCAGAATTTTAGAATAAGTAATAGCAGTAAGGAATGTCATTCTTTTAGTTGTGAAAAGGTTTCAATCTCCACTGTGTTTTCTTAAAACGATTAAACTATGCATTCACCTAATCCGAGACCTAAAATCTCCCAAATCCAGACATCTCAACTTCTCAAATAACAAAATTCTGATGAAAATTAACATGATGTTTATCCTATATGTTATTTAAAAACTTGCTGGACTGGAAATTTGGTCTAAACTTTCTACAATTAGCTGAACGAGAGGTTGAATATAAATATGCTTCCAGCTATGAACTGACAAAGGAAAAATAGCAATGATAGAGGACTCTGAAGCATGGATGAGAAGAATGGATTTCTAATGGCCCTTCCCCACAGAAGGGGCACAATATTGAACTGGTGACCACTGGAATAAGAATGACATTGTAGTTTAAAACACAGTGGCTGAAACTCAAATTAAGCTAATCCTTTTCACAAAGTGGTGTGGAGTTAGTGTCAACACCAGCTAAGAGCACAATGTTAAAGAGGGTTTGTCAAGTTCCAGCTGTCAGGTTCCTGAGGGACACTCGGTTTCAGCACCTACAGTCACAGGTTTTGCTCATGGTTGGGAGAAAGTAAATCCAACTATGCTAAAACAGGGCCACACATTTGTCATCTCTACCCTCTCCCTCTTGGCAAGAGGGTCTAAAGTCATCTAGTAGTTATTTATTGTGTTTTATATCATCAGTATAGTTGGGGCAAAGGGGGAAAGGATTTGTTTTGGAAATATTAGACACTATTCTGAATTTGGAAGCCATTTGTAAACTTTTAGTGTTCCTGCTTACAGGTGGATCGCTTTGTCTGTCACATACCTGCTTGCCAAATGGAAGTCCCCAAATCTACTTGAGGAGATTTCCTGGTACCAACAAATCCTAAGGCATCTTCTAAAAACTGTATCTTCTTGCTAAACTGCATCTCCAAGATGGGGATTGCTTCTGGCATCTTCGCTGACAAGAGCCGGTAAGAGGTGTCAGGCTTCCCAATAAATCTCTGCCGGACGCTGATTTCATATGGAGTATGAACTCTGATATCATCAACATCCTTTGATTCAAACCGATGAATGACCTGAGAATTACAGTCACTGATTTCCAGGCCAGAAGCAAAGAGCGTGAGTTTTCCTGGCTTGACATTTGAGTCTGTTCTGTGGGTGATAATAACTGGAATTCTAATTATGATTCCTTCCTGGTTCTTCGAATCGGAAACTGTGGCAGTTTCCTTTGGCTTCGTTTCCAATGGTGCTTTCCAGAGCTTGCTGCTAAATGGCCACCAAGAAGGAGATTCGAGCTCAGTCAACAACCTAGTGGAGAAAAGAAAGTGTTAGAAGAAAATCAGTAGGAGGGTTGTGCTACCCCACCAATTCAAAGCAAATTACCACAGACACAAAGATTTCTTAATACTGAATCCAGCCCTCTCTTATTTTGCTCCTCAAACCTATTCCCAGATTACCAGGATCCATTTCTTTTAAAACACAACTTTTCTTCATTTCCTAATATGTTGGAAATCGGTCCCAGAATTTCACTGTTCTGATGTAAGAAATCTAACTTACAACTGGATTTATTCAGGTCAATTTACACCCATCTGTTCTTCAGCTAATGTTGCCTTTTACCTCCATTTTTCCACATCTGACCATCACCACCACCGCCTTTTTCTGCTCCTTTATACCTCAGCCCTATAGTCTGATCCTAGCTTTTATTGTGCCTCGACTTCCAAATTATCAGTTAAAACACTAAGAGTGCAAGGTCCAGGCTGAAAAGCCCAGCAGAGACTGCCCACTGGCATCCAGACTCTGCCTCACCATCAATGTTGGTGTAGCTCCTGAAGGAGACAGGTCTCCTTGCTGGAAAACTCATGCCTTAGCTTAAAGACAACGGGACTCACTTTATGGAGGAATTAAGGAACTGCTCCTGAGGATGACCACTGTACAGCAGAATCACAGAATCACAGAATGGTTTGGGT